AACATTCTCATACTCCTATTGGGCGCTTGTTGTGTGTCTGCACGTGATACCACCCACGGCGTATTAGGGACTTGAATATTACTACTCTCGCTTGTACCGGCTTTCTTCGATTGGCTGCACTACAGTGCGCTCATTCACAGATCGTCTTCTTGATGCACTTCTATTCCTTCGTTGATATGAACCACAGTTTATCTCCTCAAATGGATATTGTCATTTTTGCAACGTTATACGAGTTTGGTGGAATGAACGTTCAGTATAAGTTACTTGGTAATCGTTGTCAGATAATAAAACAGGTGTTCGACTTATCGTGGACGTAATGTAATGGGTGTGTTTGTTTGTATAATTTCGTACGCCGGTTCTGGTTGCTGTCTTTTGGTTTTAGTGTGATTATTACGCAATATTTTAATAACTTCAATGGGGATAGGAGGGACCTAACTTATGAGCACTAAGCCACGGCGCAAAGTCAATTTTTTCTTGAGAAAGCTGGGGACGATAATGGGGCAGAAGTGAAGTGAAACGGAGTTCACGAGGCACTGCAATTTTGCGGTAGGTGAACCAAGACGATGCGACTGTGTACTGTAAATAATAATAATGATGCGGTCTATTTTTTGACTGTTTTCTTATTGTTCTCATTCACAGCATTTGCTTGATGCTTTTCTGGCTGGTTTTATTCCGTGAAGGTAATCAAAAACAGCACTCACTTGCTATATTAGCGTGTTTCCCCAACCGAACCACTTTTTTCATAAATTTGAGTTCGACGAATATACGACCGTGCAATTTCTTACTCAACGGATACACAAAGCATTGAGAGAGGAAGGATCGAAGCCAAAAGACAGCAACCGAAGCCATCGCACATGAGTGCAAGGAGAACGGATGTTGGTGTTGTAAACTGAGTTCAATCGGGGACGTTGTTGCGTTCATGTCAAATACGGGGTGAATTCCGTCCATGCAGAACAGTGGGCGTATATCAGCTAAAATACTGGGACGCTGTTTATAGTTATTTCGATCTCTTCAGGTTTTACCAACTACACGAATCCACCGATTGAACCCGGAGCTTCTTTACTGGGGAGACGCAAGCATTGATCACCGAACATCTAGTCAGACTGTGTTCACTGTGTGTGTACGGTATAGCACAACCCATATTTTCAATCTTATCGAACAACTACCGTTGCTGATTTTGGGAATGTCATCCAGGAGTTATAACCATTGTAGTGTAAGTAAGTGATCTCACAAGGTACCTTCTGAGTTGAAAAAATTTCGTTTTCTATATTACCTCTAATTCACGGTTTTGTCTACATTATCCGTAGTTTAATGGTCGTGGAACGTGGTGTGAATTCTCCGTCCTTGGAGTCTAATGACTCGGTGCCTTTCGATGACTGGAACCAGGATGAATCGGATCCCGAGCTGGATGAACTACCCCAGGTAACTGTGGGCTATGTACCATTGGGTAGTGAAACAATACAAACGATCGGCGAGGATGACGACGACGACGAAGAGGCAAATGGGAACATGTCACTAGGCGAGGAACATATGAATCTCGCAGATGACTGTGGTCACGGAACAGCAAACAAGGTTAATGGTTCCATGAATGCACATATTGCTAACCGTGTGGAAGAATCCGGGTCATCTACAAAAAGTTCTGCTTGGGATTCTACCTTGGCTTCTTTATCTGATACGATGGTGGATCGTTTGCTTCAGAATCAGTTATGTATGACCGAGTTCGAGCCTCGAGGAGCATGTGGTGTGAGTTTTGTTGTTTTTCTTGCGGATATTAAGGAAATGTATATGCCCATCAATGTGGACTTCTGTCTAAAACAAAAGCATTTTCCATATGCAGAATTCATTCAAAACAACAGCGTGGCGAACAAGCTCATCTTCAGTTATTCGTAATCATGCCATTACATAACATTAAATATGACTAACTATAAGAAACGAAACAGGGAATGAGAAATTCGAGTCCTAATGATTCAGCTGTGGCTCCAATCATGCGTGCGTGTGTTTGTGTGAAAATTGATCACAGTGTCAAAGGTTCAAGTGATTGCACACGTGTTGAAGTGGCTGAAGTCGGCCAGGGGAGATTAAGTGCTTGCACAAATTTCTTCTGGGCGCACAAGGGGGGTTTGTGAATCCGAATACTTACGGCTTCGGCCGTGGCTAAGATACGATGCTTCACTGCTTTTTATTGCCTGCATCGAACCTTGTAAATCAGTCGGAACGCGTCTGCCACATTTACCGAGTGATCTAACTCAACGAGATGCGAACACACCGCGCTCGTAATTGTCTTAATTGTTCCAGTCCTCGGCCAAGCCGGGTGGTGTTCGCGAACGCGATCGGATAAGCGCCTGGTCGTGCGGCCGATGTACCCAGTCCCACAGGAACAGGTGAATGAATATACACAAAATTATTACGAATAACTGAAAACGAGCTTATTCGCCCCGCTGTTGTTTTGAATGTGTTCTCTGGGATTAATGAAACAATATGCAGAATTCACGAACGTCCGAGGAGTGAGGCCTTCCACCACCATCATCAGTTCTTGGTATCTGGGACTAGCCAGATGGGCTAAACCAAACTCAATACTCCAACTTTTCACCTACCATGCATGTAATCAGCCTTATTGAGAAAGAACTTCATTGGGATTTTACCAGATAAAGAACCACCGCGAAATGCTTGATGTTACAAAATTATTACCATTATTCCTCCAAGGGCTTCATTTATGGATCACGAACTGTTCGTTTTAATAGACTCAGGTGATTGAGCAGCAGATCTAAAAAGGAAGTTAAATTTTCCGTAATAAATGTAATTATACGGACTTGAAAATTTTTCTGCCAACCCTTAAAGATGCTGGCGTTCTACCTCAATTGTAGCCTAATAACGGACCCTTCGAGCACCAATTGTTTTGTGCCATTTCCTTACCTTTTTCGTTCGGATATTTCCCATCTGTTTCTTGGAGAGGCTTTTGGAAGGTGTATAAGAGGTACATGATATGAGTAGCAACACTACCCTGGCATCCTCCGTCCCTTTGGTCTCTACCACATACCTTTTTCACATATTGTTTCGAGAAGCGACCTCCAATCGGTAAACCGCGCAACATGCGGACCAAACCAGGTTTACGATAACCAAGGTATAGAAACCTGCGCTTGATGGTGTGTAACAGCCAAAGACGGCTACTCCTGAGTGCATGGAACAGCTCTACTGCCTGATTGAACTACCATTAGGGTAATTTGTGAAACAATCAGAGACGCACGGATCGCTGAACTGAACCCATAACAGTTGGGTGGCGATTGAGTTCCTAGTAGAAAACCGACCACCACACAAACACCCGACTGCCTTTTAGTCTGCACTTGGTTATGCGATGGTCGGAGATGTGCCCTCCAGCTAAAGGATCAAGCGTGTGTTGTATCAAACTGCCATGACAGTCAACGATCGTTCATGGAGCGGGCTTATCCTCCAGAATGAATGTTCTTCACAGGTTAGAATATCATGCGAAACGTCCAGCATGAATAACATCCCAAATAGTCTGAAGCACCCGTTGCACACAACGACTAACTGATTAGTATGATGGGCCATTAGGGGCCCTCCTAACTAGCCACAGCCACCATTTGGATTGAGCATCGTTGCTTCGAAATCATTGCCATCTCTCTCTACGGCACTCGTGACATCTCCCGTTATAAGCAGTTAACCGATGAACTGCAGTCGCTTGTATTGTAGTTTGAACTTAATTCACTTCTATTCTGTAGGATGCGTCGATCTACACTCAATCCCTGCCCGATGCTACTCAAGCTGTTCTTTGGAACAGTCCCTGCTCAGCACCTCAAAGTATCGTTTTGACTCAAGGTAAGCGATATTTTGTTAGACCTAGCAGCAAGATGATTTTATATTTCAACTTCACTAACTGTTTTTTGCACTGCCTTGCCGCATTTTACAAAGCAAAAATATTGGTTTGTTTACATTTTACAAAACAAAATCCCTTCCTCTTACGGTTGTCAAGCTTCCACGTGGCTTTCTTTTAGAATTATTACAGTTCACTGAATTGATTTATAGGTTTCTCAATTGATTGGTGCTAGCAGTTGCTAAAATAGGCTAGGATTAAACTCGAGCAGTGGTGGCCCGGTGGTAACGTCACCAAATTATCATCCCGGGGGACGTGTGCTCGAATCCCACCATCACCGCCTGACTTTCCCCATGGCAGCCCTTTGATTGGCCGCTTCTCCCTTCCTGAAAGTTATATCGTTGTGTTCAATGAAGTAAAATGAAAAAATGAAACAAATACCTGATTTATCGATGGAGATATCGATCTGCCCGTTTCTTCGTAACTTGCGCAAACGAGAGTTGCAGTTGGAATGTCTTTTCATCATTATCTTTATCTTTGCCGAATCACTTTTTCACTTCCGTGCTCCTATTTTAAGTGCCGCCTCGCAGCTATCCGTTTAGTTGAAATTAGAAAAAAGAGCTCTAAGCGGAGTAAAGCACCCTGATAGCGATACATCAAGAGAATAAACTGGGTGTTCATAGAGAGGTCCTAGTTACTCGAGGTTCACAGTTTGTAACAATGAACTACATATTTTTAGCTATTTAATGGGTCGACGCCGAGGTCTCCCTATCGTCATTCTCGCTCTTAGTTTCGCCACCCTTGATCGTCTTCTAACCACTGCTCACCTCTGAATCTTTCACACTGTGAGGAAGTTTATACAGTTACTTTCATACCATTTGACACAATCTATGGAGTTAGGGTACTTGCGTCATTGCTCGACCACCTGACCTTGACACTTCTGTTTGATCTTCAGCATGGCTTGTGCGGTTGCCTCACTAGACTCGTGCAATGCGTTGTAAATAGCTGTGTTCTCTCACTGTAACTCTGTTTGTTTTCTCTCGCTACAACCAATTCTCTGCATGATATATCAACGCTGGTCGAAGGGCTGCAGCATACACGTTTCACGGACAACAGATTGTCGCAACGGCATCACCCGTGTCTCAACTTGTGCGGGGTAAAACTTAGTGCCAGATTACCAGAGCCTTAGTTACCTATGTAGCTAAAATCGCTTAGTCAGTTAAGGAAAACTTGAAGCTGAACCGTGTTCCAACAATATACAGTTTTAAGGTGTTCAGTTCAGTTCATTTCTTGCAACCATTAACCATGCACTTTCGTGCGCCGGTTTTGGTTGCCTATTTGGATAAAAAAAGCAGAATGATGATTAGAATACTGAGAGCAGATTTAAGCTAAAGGTAGCACACTTTCATAGACTGAAGTTACAAGAATAATGAGTAGATGCATGAGCGCCACTGTTTGCGACACCCAGCCATATGGCTCAGTGCCTCTAACCACCGATGACCATGATCTCTGGGTCCCGATCCAGGGAGCCTAACGGGATCTATGTGATCCAGTCTCCTGGTCGGGGTTTTTATACTCTCATGCCAGGTATTAACTTGAACGCCCTTCTTTTTTCCCAACCACTACCTGCCTCGGCAAACATCGATCGCCGTGGCAACCTATCTCGTGACATGCGTAATACATGTCCCAACCAGTGTAATCTATGGAGGTCGACTACCTGTTCCAGTGGACGACCGCGATTATCTAAAACTCTACGCCTTACCTCAGCATTTCTCGTCCGGTTTCCCCACCTGACTCGTGCAATGCTGCGTATAGAGTGGTGTTCAAACACTGACGGTCTATTTATATCCTGTTTTCTTAATGCCCAAGTTTCCGCACCTTATACCAGGACTGGCTGAACTGCTGCTGCGCCACAGATGTCTCAAGTTGGCAAATGCCAACCGAGCCTTCTGTATGCGAGCTGACACTTCATCCGTGATGCATCCACCGGGTGAGATGTAGCTGCCCAAATAACAAAACTTATCCACCTGCTCCATTACTTCCCCAGTTAGAGTGAGG